TTTTTTTTATTCTTTTATTTGTTGAAATTCTTGAAGCTACTTGTCGTGGACATGAATCCTATTTTCCCATTGTAGCGGTTTCAGGCCCAAGCTCAGGCCCGAGCTCGACGTGTCCCAAGCGTGGCGATGCAGTCCCAACAACCAGGACAACCGTTCGACCCTATGTATCAAGGTGTTCCGATGGGAGTGAATAAGTGAGTCTGACGAAGGTTGGTGAGGTGTTTCAATTGAAGTACGGACCTTATTTTTCAGCGTTCCCGGCCAAACGCAACCGTTGATGCGGTACCCTCAGGGAACGATGGCATCGCCTTCGTATCCTTTGCCAGCTAATGCTCGACCAAATGGTATGATGCCGTCGCCAGGATATCCTCAAATGGTAGGCGACTAAAAAGCAAATCTATACGTTAGGCTTAAGGCTTTATGTGACTTTACATCAAAAACCGAAATCCATTGAAAACCTTAAAACACGCTGGTAACTTTGAAGCCAAGTGTAAACGTTGCAGTTTCAGTATCGTGCTGGTGCTCCGATTCTTTATGGACAAGTACAACAACCCGCCCAACATCAGCAGGTACTGCACTCAGATTGCATTTCTTCCATTTTGATTGATTTTATCTGATCGGGACCATTTTCATTAATATATCCCTCAGGTCGTCTCATATCCTAACCCAAATGCGCCACCGGATGGAAGGTTCAATGTTCCCTACGCGTCCGATGGGATGCCCCCTGTGATCCTGCCGAAGGAGGTTGGTGATGAGCTCACTGATTAGCGTATTGGTTGAGGTGTTCCCGAGGACTCCGCTACTAATTTGTTGATTTAAGGTGATCATGCGACCATTCGGCCTTGAACACAACATGAATCACCACACCTTCACCTTTAACCTTCGACCAGAAATCATACAACAATTGCAATCGTAAGTTCATTGAAAGCTATATCTGTACAGCGACACTGTGCTCATGAGACTTTTTCAGGCCTTTCATTGATATTCAGCTGAAGAGTTTCCATAAGGACGACAAGAAAATGGCAACTCAGTGGCCCCCAAAGCAGGCTCCAAACGGCCAATCGGTTCCTGGAACGATTCCCGAATGTAGCATTCAGGTAGTAAAGCAGTTGCAACATGTTCATTATTAAATTTGGGAAAGAATACCTCAATTGGGGCTTTGGAAGTCTTTCTTTTGTCAAAACAAGACAGAACTTCTTTTTCTCTTTTTTCATAGCCCTATTGTCCAGGTGCTTATCAACGGCCAAATGC